TCACTGGACGGCCGTTCCGCCCTATTGTAAGACTCCTCAGCAGTGCGCATCCACGACCTCGCACCCCGCGAGATTCGAACCCAGGACCTACTGGTTTCGCGCGCGAGCACATTAACACCGTTGGATGCCGGCTCAGTGGTCTAGTGGTTAAGTGCTCAATGAATCAGTCTTACAATATTTATAGAATTGCTTACTCACGCTAGGCTTAATATGGGCCAAACCTAAAGCTGAATTTAAACACATCATGAGATAGTGGAGGAGCTTTTCAAAAGGATGTTTTATGATAATCTTGAACAATGAGAGTTGAATGATTTAATGGTGAAGTTCGGTCTTTCTAAATAATCTGTCAATAATATTAGAATGAATAGAGCTATCAAATGACTCTAAAGGTGATTAACAACTTATTCTGTAGACATAATAGAATGATATTGATAAACCATTCTCAAATTATCAATATTGCTCGCATTCACTAAAATATTTCTTAAAATGAGTGATAGACAAACAGTCAGTAATAGGTAACGTAGAGTTCTACATATATGTGTCATGGTTCAATCACTCACTCCATATCAAGACGGGAAGATGAAAAGATTAAGAAAAATGTCAAACCAGTAGAAATGATAACGGTATCAGTGAGAGTATTACTCCCCTACTTATGCCTGTAACCACCCGTGGAAAAGCATAGGCCGCTCATCAGGATTCTCCATCCAACTCTGTCCTGGACAATCCTTTCCAGTTCTTTCCAGTTGGTGTTCATCCTTTTCATGTCTACTTCTGATTCCCGGAGAAATATGTTCTTTGGTCTTCCTCTTTTCTGTTTCCCTTCAGGATTCCAAGTTGGCGTTTGCCTCGTAATGCAGCTCGGTGATTTCTGTAATATATGTTCAATCCACCTCCATCGTCATTTTTTAATTTCTCTTCATCTGGAAGTTTGTTTGTTCTTTCACATAGTAGATTGTTGCTGACGGCATAGACAATATAAATCGAGAGGAAAAAAATTCCAGAAATATAAATTGCAAAGCAATTTTAGAACTCCAGATCTCGGAAGTGAATTTATCTGCTCTATTAAAACCGATCCTGAGCCATGTTGCTCATTACGAGAATTCCAAACAAATAATCTGTACCAACCGACACGGCTAGTTAATTACTCCATTTATTGATGCCACATCCTGGTTTGACTCCCCGTTATTTTTCTCACAACCTACTATTTATTACCTAGGCAAATATCGCTCACTGAGACAGTGTCTCAACAAGTTTAGTTAATGAATATCCACAACTTTACCAAACGATAGCTATTTTTACCTAGTACCTTGCATATAAACTTAGCTAACTAGGATGTTTAAAAGACACATACATACCATAATTGTTGTTAATATATACATAACGTATCAATATGAAATAATTATAAAGATGGATAAGTGATTTTCAACGGAATTACAATTTTGGACAACACAGATGTCAGTGGAATATACCGCCCAGATATTTACTGAAATTTGACTTTCAAAGTATATACACTTATTATAAATTTTTTATCGAAGTACACGGTGTTACCTCATATTCCTCTTTCCCTGACAGCTCTCATTTGTATTTATCGTTACACTACTTATTATTATTCAGTAGTTTGAGTTATTAGTGTGACGTACTACTCGTCCTATCTGTTGATATTATTACGTCTTAGTTTGGTTTTATACCTATGGCATTACATTCATCCTTTAGTTTTTCATGTTGGCTACTCTTTTAAACCCCTCCTACCTTGGATGATTTGACTACTTACGATATATAACATCTAATTTTCATTTGTTAATTACTGATGTTCTTGGTTAACCTATCCGTGTAATGTTTTCTGATAGTAAATGCTACAATTTTGTTCTTATTCCCTTGATTGAATAGAGCACTTTCACTTTGCTTGCGTTTTCCAACAGTGCAATTGGCAATTGAATACCCCATGATTCGAGGTTTATAATTTCTTAAAGTTTATAATGTTTTCTGTTATGCGATTTGAAAAAAATCCTGTTTCCCAGTTCAAAAATTGCACACGTAACGTGATTATTGAAGAAGATTCTTTAGATCATCTTTATGCATACTTGTATTGCCATTGGTGTTTTACCTATTTAAGTCATTTTGTGTTGTTTTTTATGATCTTTATTTTTCTGCTCATGTTTCTCACTCTACATTTCAGTAGATTACTCTTGGTGATCTCACTTAGGGTCACTGTTGATGAAATATTGTAATAGATTTGAACGAACGTTTTGTTATTTTTCACAGCAGTCTCGCTTTCCTGACGTTACCGACTTTTCACTAACGCTCTCTTTGTGTATGTCCAGAGCTTATTGAGGAACCATTACATGTGATCCTACAAAAATCATTGATAAATCCTATTCGTCAGGTGACTAGCTTCCGTTTAACTCTAGATCTAACTTGAGACTCTATTCGTGATCCGTCCTTTTAAATAAATGATTGAATTATGAGGCTATTATCGGTAAAAATATAAGAAGGGATGAGTTATCAAAATTTCATCATAAGCGGCTGACTAAATACCCTATAAAAATGATATTGGTGGTTACTAAAATTTGTTTTATCATACATCAGCATAGGGTTGTGGAGATCACTAAGTTTTTGATTGAGATCATGAACTGATTGATGCTAGACCACCGTATGAAACCTGGAAGCTCTGGATGGCTGTTTCGTCCTATTGTGGGACTCCTCAGCAGTGCGCATCCGCGATTCCACTCGCTGGACTAGAACACAGGGCCTTCAGTCTCGCACGTGAAGGCTTAACCTCTAGACCACTGAGCCGGCCGACATCCAATGGATGTTCATGTCTAACTTCAACCAACCAATGAAATTGCGCGAGCGTCTTTCATTGTACTGAGGTAGATACTTATCTCTACCCGACACGGATTAGATCCACTGGTCACGGCTTCTTGCTAGAACTCCGAGACTTCCCTCACGAAGCTAGTCGCTAGTGAGCGCATGGTTGTGGAGATCATTAAGTTTTTGATGTTATATTATGCTTCCTTTAAATGACATCTGACCTTGTACTTGGTTGTCATTTTTCCAATTGACCCGTATGCTAACGGTTTGTTGAATGACTTGAATATAAACTTCTCTATATTCTATGATCCTCAGTAATTCTCATACTAGCTTTCAATTTCACTTAATTATTTTATGTAGAAAGATATAGATGTTAATACAATTGAGTTGTCAGCGAAATAAGAATGAAATTTTAGTTGAGTATCATATAATCTATAACGTTGAGTGATTTCAATATAACGTGGAAAAATCTTCGTCGCTGATATATGAATATGTAATATATTAAACTATGGAAATCATATTAAAAAGAATCATATCTGATGTTAACTGAACAGAGACGACATCTATGATATCCTAAAGTTTCGTTTAATTTAGTATGCGTTTAGGATAGTATGATTGAAATTTTAGGGAAACTAATATTCATTTTGAGAGTAGTACCATCACCGTCGTGGTTGAAGAATATGCTATAGAGTTATCCAAGGTTCGACTAATGTTTTTGTATAAATAAGATTTTTATACTAATCAATTACTCGATAATAAACAACTTCATGTAACGTTTGCCGTAGTACTGACCCACCAGGGTACTTGATACGTGTGTGGTTGCTCCACAGGATTGAGCTGTACTATTCAGATTGTAGTGCTAAAGCCTAAAATGGTATCTGGTTCTCCTAGAAACGGGATTGAGCCGTACTATTCGGGCTACAAATTTTAAGCTTCAACGGTGTCTGGCTCTCCTTTTAAACGGGATTGAGCTGTACTGTTTGGATTGTCAGGTGAAAGTCTGGATGGTGTCTGGTTCCCCTGAAAACCAATGTAAAATTACCCTGGCTCACAAGGGTATATTATATAACTATAAATTACCTTAGTACTAATAGAATTTTGCCAAGTAAATTACAATTCGGTCACAGTTTAGTGCACTGAGATATTAAGTGACTTAAATTAATGACTATTTGGCAAATTGATTGCTAGAATTTATTTACCATTCACGACATGACAGAAGGACTTTTGTTTGCTGTTGAACTATCGAACAGTGGAGTGATCAAATCTGTAAACTAATGATAATGTTACTTATTTGAAATCTAAATTTACTACTGTTGTATCTTGTATGAGTCTATAATAATTACTAATTACAAAGAAATTTAGTTTTTTTTATATTTTCGGGTTTTGTGGCGGACTCGACAAAAACGGTAATGAATACTCACTGGTACTTCATTTTTAATAATCCACACACTAATATGTGATGGAGGTGAAAGCACTTTTAAGATAGCTTTATATTCCAAATAGAAGTCAACAATCAAAATAGATCATCTTTATTGATACATTCATTCCCAATGACTTTGGGACACAATAAAATTAATAAACTAAAAACGACTGTCAATTATATAGTAAAAAATGGTCACTGAGGGAAAGTATCATCAAGGTTATTCTTTCAGGAAAACAATTGATTCAATACAAAATAAAATAAAATAACCTCAGCTCTTCTTGGCAACCACTTTCTGATTTCTATTATCCGATTGTCTTAATCTCATATTTGTATTACTACTAACCGTTATTGATTAGTTTTAGTACTTGATGTAATTGTAATCACAACTGATTGATCACTGGGTGGTGATCAATGTCATGTGTGCTGGGTGACACAGGATCGAATCCGCCAGGGATCACCAGTTCCCTCAAGATTACAGATACACATTGCTGACGAGTGCCAAGTAGCACGAAACCCGGGTCCAGGGTTTCCTGTCGACTACCTCCAACCACCATCTAATCTCGATTTAATTATATTCTACGTTTTTATTGAGTAACCAATTCACTTTTTTTCTTTTATTCTTCTATCTTCCAGAATCTTTCACACACGCTATACTTCAAATTATCCTTGGATATAAATTACCTTGAAGCTATACGCAGACTTATCAAAGTTAGAACTTATAATCGAGATAATTTATTGTATTTATACCAAAAGGATCAACAAACAAATGTCTGAAGAGAATAATCATAATAAATCAATCCTTGATAGAAAAATGAGAACAGATAAACGTATGAAAGGAATGCATCGTAAACAAATGTACTACATATGGAACTAATATAACATTCATTTATATTAGGAAAGAGAAACTACAGAAACATTTGAAAATAAAAGATGAAAAAGATAAACAATTCTTAAATGATGCCATTAAGTAGGATCGCTTTTAATTGATTTATTTTATAGATCAACTAATAATCGATTGAAATTGATGAAGAAACGTTTTATTGAAAACTTAGTAAGAAAATCAATATTTGTTTTTTTTTTTACTAGCATAGGGGTTGTGGATATTATTAAGTTTTTGATTGAGATCATGAACCGATTGACGTTAGACCATCTTTGGAAACCTGGAAATACTGGATGGCCGTTTCGTCCTATTGTGGGACTCCTCAGCAGTGCGCATCCACGGTCCCGCTCGCGGGTTCGAATCCACGATATTGCGAGATAACCCATCGAAGACGATGAAAGACGGTCGAGATCATTCTTTGTGAATGTGTAGATACTTGTTTCTCGGTAGTCATAATCTGATTCATGAAAGTTGCAGATATTCTCTCACTTTATACAAATACTTTGGCTAACGTCAAAATATAAAAAAATCACCTACATTTACCAAAAGAACTATTACACAACCATCAATATGATATATTAAATCGTTCAGTTAACACCAAATAAAAAACAATTCAATATTTAGTTGTTGAGATCATGAGTCAATCAAAGCCGGACCACCATGGAAAACCTGGAAACACTGGATGGCCGTTCCATACTATTGTGGGACTCCTCAGCAGTGCGCATCCACGACCCAACCTCGCGAGATTCGAACCCAGGACCTATCGGTCTCACGCGCGGACACATAACCTCTGGACTACTGAGTCGGCATCCAACGGTGTTATTGTCTACCTTCAACTAATGCACAAAATTGACCGACACATCCACCATTGTTTTCAGTGAGTTACTAGTTCACAACAGATTCGGTTGAGCTCCACTGGTCACCGAAAATTCAATATTCCCTAAGCTTTATTCATAAATTTCATTCAATTAGTTCCCTTTAAAGAATTATTATTCTAACTTGATACAGATCAATCCATGAATTTCAGTATTAAATGAAAATGATCTTAAACAAACAAAACAATAAAACTGGAAACTTTCATCTTGTACCAAAAAAATTTTTTAATCATTTTCTTATGTAGACAACAGAAATGAATTATATAATAGCGAATCAACCGAATGCAATGGCATCATTAAGAGTTAAAGCTATTTTTCTGATTGGTTTACATGATAAAATGATACAAAAAATAAGAAAATCAATTGATCAAGTAAGTATTTGAGTACATCTGAATAGTTTTCAGTAGTTTTCCCTTTTCGTAGCCTGGGATCTGACTCCAATTATATCGTATGATTGTCATTATTACTTACTTACTTACTTACTTACTTACTTACTTACTTACTTACTTACTTACTACTTACTTACTTACTTACTTACTTACTTACTTACTTACTTACTTACTTACTTACTTACTTACTTACTTACTTACTTACTTACTTACTTACTTACTTACTTACTTACTTACTTACTTACTTACTTACTTACTTACTTACTTACTTACTTACTTACTTACTTACTTACTTACTTACTTACTTACTTACTTACTTACTTACTTACTTACTTACTTACTTACTTACTTACTTACTACTTACTTACTTACTTACTTACTTACTTACTTACTTACTTACTTACTTACTTACTTACTTACTTACTTACTTACTTACTTACTTACTTACTTACTTACTTACTTACTTACTTACTTACTTACTTACTTACTTACTTACTTACTTACTTACTTACTTACTTACTTACTTACTTACTTACTTACTTACTTACTTACTTACTTACTTACTTACTTACTTACTTACTTACTTACTTACTTACTTACTTACTTACTTACTTACTTACTTACTTACTTACTTACTTACTTACTTACTTACTTACTTACTTACTTACTTACTTACTTACTTACTTACTTACTTACTTACTTACTTACTTACTTACTTACTTACTTACTTACTTACTTACTTACTTACTTACTTACTTACTTACTTACTTACTTACTTACTTACTTACTTACTTACTTACTTACTTACTTACTTACTTACTTACTTACTTACTTACTTACTTACTTACTTACTTACTTACTTACTTACTTACTTACTTACTTACTTACTTACTTACTTACTTACTTACTTACTTACTTACTTACTTACTTACTTACTTACTTACTTACGCCTGTTACTCCTCGTGAAGGAGCATAGGCCACTCACCATCATTCTCCATCCAACCCTGCCCTGGGCAATCCTTTCTAGCTATTTCCAGTTCTTATTCATCCTTTTCATATCTGATTCTATTTCCCGATGTAATGTGTTATTTGGCCTTCCACTTCTCCGCTTTAATTCAGGATTCCAAGTTGGGGCTTGCCTCGTGATGCAGTTTGACGATTCGCGTAGTGTATGTCCTATCCAGTTCCATCGTCTTTTCCTAATTTCTTCTTCATCTAGAAGCTGGTTTGTTCTCTCCCACAAAAGGCTGGGAGAGAACAAAATATACATATCGTCAATCCTGGTAATATAATTATCGACTTAATTCGCGTTCATGAATAACGGAATTAAATAAGTCAAATACGAGAATGAATGTTTGAATACGTATATTTTGTATACTCGTTGATTGGAACAGACAATCAAAGAATCACAACGAATGAAGCGATGAAAAGAGAGCGAGACGAGACGGTGCGAAATGGAGAAGGAGTGTGAGCAAACTCCATTTAACCAAGAGTTAATGGATGTTTGTAGTCATACAAAAATAAGTTAAAGATATGTGATGAGTAGGATAACATGTAAACACACATACACTCAGATAAAAACAGTCAGGGTTGATAAGCAAATAATTAACAAGGTCAAAACTTGACTCAAGAAGAATAGATAAATTAACCTGCGTCAACATACTAGGTCTCATAGTTAAATTAATCAACTTCTTAAAAAACCACACTCAGTTTTGACATTTTTGACTCCGATACTCTGTAAATGAATTTTGAAAAACTCAAATAACAGATATCTGTTTCAGATCAATGTTAGTAACTATAATACTGTTGTGTATACTACTTATGTCGACAGATATAATTTGATTAGATCGATTTATGATCAGCAATGTAAACAGATAATAATCGTAAAAGCAAAAAAGAAGGAAGGAAAGATGTTTTTAAGGGACAGTTGATGGAAGATGTATAAATAAAGTATTTAATCTATTGTTTTCGTATGTAATAAAGACACTCTGTAACTTTGCATTAAACAATAAATTGATCTTCCTCACCTATGAGTTCGCTCAATACAATATCACCATGGATAACTACACTTATCAGCTAATATTTGAAGCCCTTTAGTTAAATTACTTAACAGATAATGTTATTCGAACAGTAACAACAGTAGTATACTTCTGTGTACTAATATGATCACTATCATATCTGTATAAACATGTAGGCCTATGCACATATCTCTCTCTACCTTAAACGTTAGTCGTTTAAATATCACTCGATAAGTCATTTTGTCCCCCATATATATACATACTCGAATCTTATTATTAGACTTTGACTTGTCTTGCTGTGCCCTTATTCGATTTGGCTATAAATTCGCTTCTGTATTCGGTCGCATACACATATTCACCTCTGCTTCAGACTTGCCTAATGTACTTATAACTATGATGTCTGTGCTATCCGCTGATAAACTGTAGTTACTCCTTCTCATTGCCTTCTGATTTCAAACACCGTTCGGATTGATATAATGACGGTTATCAAGGTGATTAATTAACAGAGATCAATTTTTACTACATGTTCAAAAAAATCTAGGCATCAGTGAACACAAATGAACTGATTTAGTCAATTAATTCAAGTTAGATATTAAATTCATTGAATATCAACTCAATGGTCTAAAAGTGATAACACCAGAGAGCTTCTGACTCGATTCTCTATAGGGTGATAGGTGGGTACTTCTGAGTAGTCCAATAATAGAACAAAACAGACATTCAATACTTTATGTCTTTCATTGGTCGCTTAACTAATGTCACTCTGTGATATAAATCGTATTGACTTTACACAATATAATCATCAAGATTAACATTACGACTTGATTAACCGCAATGAATATGTTTCATTTGTGAATAAAAGACAATAAATGAGATGGATATTGATTGCCAAAATAAAAGTTCAGTAATATTTAATGACTAATGACAATAATAATGGCAATAATATTAATCATAATAATATTATCAAAATGGGGATTTGTTAAGATTATAATGACTTCAATAATTGAATTCATGAGACGATCTAAGCTAGACCATCAGGTTTTCAATAGTGGTCTCGCTTAGATCAACTCATAACTGAGGGTATGCTCAAATATCTGAACTACCATTTAGATATTTCAACAAGTTATCTGTTTTTTTGTTTGTTTGTTTTAACACATCATTATGTCTCTTAATCGCATAACTTAATCAAGTGCGTTTGTGAAAAGTTTATGACCTTTTGCTGTACAGCTTGTAAAAAAGTACAATCAAAGATATCGTGGTGGATGACAAAATTCATTGAAAAGAATGAACATTATTGAAATGTCGATTACTCAATTGATAACATTTAATTGGCGATCAGTAAACATTTATCGTCAGGATAGATCAAGAAATCAGAAAAGGAATTTTGTTGAAATACTTTGTGCTGATAATTCTATTATAGCAGCTCACGCGCAATTGAGTTTGCTCATGGGGCTTAATTAAGCCCTTTTGTTAGCTTATTTAACGGATAGAGTCATTTGTACAATAACAACTTATCTAAACCATTGTACCTTTATTATTGTTGCACTTTTATGAATATATATGCTTGAGCATTACCTACTGCCTACACATATATCATTCTGTTAGCCTTACTATTAGTCGTTTAATTAGTTCAATGATTCATTCATTTCACTATGTATATTTATGTACATTTTAATCCTGTTCACTTGCTCACTCATTCGACTCGCATGCTCACTCGCTTGCCCGCTTGCTTTTCAGCACTACTCTTTCATGTTTGCTTAACGTACTTATAAATTTGGGTATCTGTGTGTGGTACAATAGTAAACGTAATCAACACTTTGTATTCGCCTCCTGATTAGTAAACCGTCAGGGCGTTATCTAGTGACGGTTATCAGAACGAACTGTATACGAAGTTTAAGATTTATATTGTGAATTCCGACCACAACATTATCTAATACCAAAAATATAATACTGAATAAAGCCATTAATAATAATAATTATTATTACTATTATTTCGTGAAAGTCTAATAGTGTATGGTTTTAATGAAATGAGAATGAAATGGTTAAATTAACAGAACAATAACTGATTACTGAATGATTGCAATCATAAATAATTTTAAAAACTTACACAATATACAGTAGCCAATACAAAATTATACCACCCCGCGGTTTTGTGCGAGAATGTTTAACCCTCAGACCATTGAACCTGTGGCATCTAATGATGTTAACATCTAACTTCAACCAGTTCATGAAATTGCGCCACTATCCACTATTGTCTTTAGTGACTTACTATCACACAACAAACATGGTTGAACTCTATTGGTCACAGTTTATCATTAGAACTTCAGGAAATACCTCTTGATGTCAGTCACGAATAAATACATGATAATGATTATCAGAAGAGGGTTCTCTATGGTGATCTACCTTTAAAATCTCCATAAAACCCACTTTTGATAAATAAGTAGTAAAACACAATTTATATGAACGAAGAATATTCTTTTCAATGAATTTCTCATCAGGTTCTACAATTATCTCATATCCAAATTAATAATCCATAAAATTGGCCAAATTTAAGGCAGAGTACATCATCATTTGGAAATTGTAATATGTGAATTGAGAATTGTTGTTTGTCATATATAAAATCAATTCAGATCGTTAATGTTGGGGTTGTTTAATATAAAGTGGTAACTTAAATCAGTTTATAAGTGAAATGAAATTGTGCGATAAATAATGATCAGAATAAATATGGTCAACATGGGGTGTGAGAGAAACTAATGGAATAAAGATCAGAAATCATGTCATATCTAGAATAATATGAATTAGGTCAGATATAGTCGATTTAGGGGTGGATATTGAATAAATTCCTCAAAAAGGGGTTATCAAGTGTAAAGATAATAATAATAATAAGTATGGGACAAAATGAACATTAATCAGATTACGTCATTATATTATAAAATTAATTATTAACTAGTTGGCCCCAAAGTTGGC